CTTTCTCCTCGACGACGACGCGATCTTTACCGGCGACTGTCGTCTTGGGCGAAGGCACGTGTACCTTCCAGTCGCTCTCCGAATACATGGCTTCGCTCCGCGCCTTGCGCGCGTGCAACCCCACGCGGCTGTACCCCGGCCATGGCCCGGTCGTCGAAAAGGCCGTCGACACCATCGACATGTACTTGAGCCATCGCCAGAAGCGTGAAGATGAGATTCTCGCCGTGCTCACGTCCAAGGGGCCTGTCGATGTATCGACGATTGTGGCGGCCATGTACCCGTCCCTACCGTACTTGTTGTCATTGGCGGCTGCCCGCAACGTCCGCATGCATCTGCGCAAGCTGCTCGACGACGGCCAGGTCCTCATGGTGCCATCGATCTCGTGGTTGTCCCGGACGCCGCGGTATGCGAGGGCAACCGTTCCGTCCGAGTAAGTCGATGTTGTCCTGTGCTGGTGGAGTGCGTGCAAACCAAGTCGAAATATAGCTCTAGTTGTTTTGTGTCGTATCAAAAGGACTTCGTAGCTCTGTGGCAGCGATGCAGGCGACGAGATGGATGGGCTGGGCACCGTGAAAAGGCGCGTCGATCTCACGGTCGTGGTCGATCCAAACAACGTCCACTGCCCTCAATTCGACCCGTGCGACGCTGCGGATAGCACCAGCACAAATGCACGGCTCTGCTGTGCTAGCACACAAGGAACATCTTACACAACCTTGATGGTCTTCTTATGGAACGCATCCTTGTCCTTGGGTGCAATTGTAAACTTGAGCCGCTTGCTCGTGGCGTGGAGCGTCGTCTTCTCACTCGACTGGAGGTCGTAGAAGACGTCGGTGCCAATCGCATCTTCGTACACGCCGTAGAGCATAAAGTCGCCAATGCGCAGAATCGGCGTCTCGGACTCGAGGCCTTGGATCTCGAGCGTCTCGTGCTTGTCGAGGATCGGGAACTCGGCAAAGTCTACGAGCTCCACAGACACGTACGTGGTCATGGCCTCGTCGCCAGCCGCAGTCGCGTCTGTCGGCGCGGTCGGCTCCATCTCGTCGGCACTGCGCTTGCTGCCCATGGCACGGTGGTCCACGAACGCGACTCCGGATAAACGGAAACCAATTTTAACCAATGGCCATCGATCGCGATGGTGATTCGCGGGTTTTAGCCAATGAAACCGCGGCCTATCCAATCCATTGCCGACCCACCTGTCTCGGCCACCGACGACGATGGCGATAGCATCGAGGAGCTCGACGGAGCCCATGCGACGCTTCCTACATGCGCATGGGCGAGTGTCGACGCCCGCGATCCAGTCGGCGTCCACCTGCGCACGGTGGCGAGCTGTGCCTCTACAAGTCGATAGCCTGCGGCAAACCCGCAGAATCGGATACGTCCCACTGTGCTGCGTGGGATTGTTCAGCGATTGCCATTTCGCCGCAGTCACAAGGTGGTCGCTAGCGTGGCATGGACCTTCTCGATGCTGTCGTCCGTGGCGAGGTGGCGACGGTCGCCGCCCTTCTACGAGACAACGTCGACCCCAACAGCCGCAACAACGTACGCCCTCGTCCTCGCGGCTAGGACCTTGAACCTCTGTGCCAGATTGGATCGCCGGCGCTCTGCGTTGCAGCGATGGAAGGAAACGTCACTGCTGCCGAGCTGCTCCTGTCCGCTGGCGCCGCCGTCGACGCGACGCTCCAAGTGGTGCGTCACGCGACTCGACGACGCCGGCGAGACCCTTCTGTAGAACAACGAGACGGCGCTGACGATCGCGGCCCGCCGGGGTCCCATCGAGCTCGTCCACCTGCTCTTGACCAAAGGCGCGGATGTCAACCATTCCAAAGGGGTATCCACGACGCGATGGTCGCTGGTCGGTCACGGGCCAATGGCGGTAGATGGGCACGGCGCTGCATGCGGCAATCAGCGTCGGCAACGCCGCCATTGTCGACGAGCTCCTCGCCGCCGGCGCCAACGTCCACGCCGTCGACGCCGACGTATGTCGCATCATTGTACCTCGGCATCGACCATGGCTTGCGTAGCGTCATCGGTCGCCCGTCTTGCTCGCCGCGGATGTGGGAAGTGTAGCGATTGCCACCCAACTGCTGGCCAAGGGCGCGACGCTTTCCGACGTCGACAAGGTTTGCTAGCATCTGGGAGAGTTCTATGGAAGAGTCATTACCTCATCGATGTATGCTTAGGAAGGGCATGGAGTTGTCTATTTTGCAGCGCAGAATGGCCACGCCGAAATGGTTCGTTTTCTCGTTCGTCGCGGCGCCGACCCCAACGCCGTGTCACACGTACATCCCCAGCTTGAAACATTGATACATTGATACACTTCGATGGCTAGGCGGGCTACACACCCTTGTACGCGGCGAGTGGCTCCGGGCACATTCATGCGGTCGCTGCATTGCTGGACGTCGGCGCTCACGTCAACATGCCCACGGCGGTGGGATCCCGCGACAGGATTTAGAAGAGGAAAGATCCCGTCTCGTCTAGAACCCTTGTCTGCTGGCGGCGGCGGCATACGGTGAGGCCAGCATCGTCTCGTTGCTTCTGCGCGCAGGAGCCAACGTGAATATCGCCGACGCAAAGGTGCGCGGTCGTTCAAACGTTCAAAAAGCAAGACCACGCCATTACTCTACTAGTGGGGCGTCACCGCACTCATCGCGGCAGCCATCAATGGCCACGCCGATGTCGTGCGGCAGCTGGCCTATGCCCGCGCCAAGCTCGACATGCCAACTTTAGTAGGTTTTTGCTGAAGGCGCAGATTTTTCGTTTTGATTCTGACGTCAACGGATAGGACGGGAAGACGCCAGTGATGATTGCGCGCGCCTGTGGCCACGCCAACGTCCTCTCGGTGCTCCATGATGTGCGCACCAAGGTACGGCACAGCCGAGGTTGAGCTAAGGAGTCATATGCGTTGATCTAGAAAATGAAGCTGTTGCATGCGACTCGGCATGGCGATCTCCCCACCATTCGCACACTCTTTTCTGAAGGCCTGAGCGCCAACGAGACGGACGAGGTAGAAAGATGCGATCTAGTTGATCCCACGTCTCTATCTGTGCTAGCATGGGAATACGCTGTTGCATTTGGCAACGCTCGGCCGCCACGAAGTGCTTGTCGCGGAGCTGCTCAAGGACCCGACCATCGAGCTGGACCGTGTCAACAAGGTCCTAAGATCTAGGATGCACCACCGAGCGTTTAGAACGAATGATCTCTTCTTTTGTAGCTTGGTGAGTCGCCTCGAGCCATTGCTGCCAAGCTCGGGCTGTCTTCGCTTCTATGGAAGCTGCATGCAGCGCAAGCCGGCAACACATCCCAGGCGGCTGTTCAGGTATGTGTCTCGGCACCATGGTGTACGTTAAGAATGAAGCAGGTGGCGGCTCGCTCGACCGTGCACCTCCAAGAACTCGGCCGTGGTGGCTACGGCATCGTCTTCAAGGACACGCTCTTTGGCCAAGAGGTCGCTGTCAAGATGCTTTTGAACAGCAGCAGCGAGGCCAAGAACCTCCGTTACGAGATCGAAACCCTCGAAAAGTACGGCGACGACGGGACTTGAACTCGCATCACGCTTCACGTCAATAGCAACCCGTCACCGTACATTGTGCGGCTGCTCGCCACAGCAGACGCGGAATCGGACGCGCCGCAGCTCATCTTCGAGTACATGGACGGCGGTAACCTCACTTCGTACCTCGAGAAGATCGCCAACGACGAACCCGTGCCTGTGGTGTACGCTCCCATTGAGATTCTCTGGGTCGTCGCCAACGCTTTGAACGACCTCCACGCCAAGAACGTCGTTCATCGCGACATCAAGACCGACAACATCCTCCTCTCTTCAGTGCACTATATCAAGGTGGGTGACGTGGGCATCGCCAAGGAAGAGTCAACGAACATGACGACGGGTGCTGGTACGAGCAAGTGGCGAGCACCCGAAGTGCTGACGTCTGGAAGCCGCTACGGGAAGGCGGCCGACATTTACTCGTTTGGGATCCTCCTCCAGACGCTGTACCCTAACCCTTTGGATGCAAGCGCCGAGTGGGCCCAAGCTCTCGCAGCGGACTGCACGGCGGTGGATCCGACGCGCCGTCCGACGGCTGAGAACCTCGTCCGCATCTTGCTGCCCAAGTTGCAGTCGTACGTTTTTTCCATTTTCTGTGTACACCTTGTCATGGGTGATGTAGACAACCAGATCTCGTGGCGTCGATGCCAGCCTTTGTGAACGATCGGGCGGTAGGCGAGCCTCACCTCAAGAATTCAAGACGATGTCATCTAGGCGGGTCCTCGACCCATCGAGACACTTGTCCCGCGAACGCCATCGAGCTCGACGCAGACGAACGAGCCAGTGTTTGCACCCATCGTAGCATTCCTAGTCCTTCGGACGTCGGTTTCTTATGGGTGGAATGTTGTAGCGAATCGGGCGTTCGGGGGCACCGCTCAGCGTACGCTCTCACTTCCGAGTGTTGGCGTAAAATAGTTGTTCGCGTGCCTAGCCCGAAGAGGAGCTGCACCTCGCCGTGCACGAGGGTGACTTTGACGCCGTCCTCACGTGGCTAGAGAGAGGCGTGCACCCCGATTGCGCCGACGTGGTAGGTCGCATTCCTTGATGCGCCATCCAACTCATGTGGGGATTAAGTCGCGGGAGACACCTCTCATGCTCGCCGTGCGCTTTGGTCACGTGTACCTCGTGGATCTGCTCCTCAAGTACCATGCAAACGTCAACGTGGCGTCCGTCGTACGCATCATAGGGCGCGTGATGCCGTCGATCATAGAGGCGTGTAGATGCGAATGACAGCGCTGCACGAAGCTGCGCGACAGAGCTCGCCGGTGATGCTTCGCAAGCTCTTGCGCATCCGAACGATTGCCATCGACCCGCCGAGTCGCGTGCGTTTTTGGTTGTACGCTGACGCGTGCGGCATCACGTCTTGCGTAGGCGAGTGAAACACCACTGCACGCGGCGGTCGCGGCCGGCCGATCGCTGCATGCGATGCTTCTTGTCGACGCCGGCGCCAACCTGGAAGCCGCCGACACCGTTCGCATCCGTGTCAATGTCGGCGGTGAAATTGCATATTTGGTGTAGGCGGGAAATCGACCGCTGCACTATGCCGCCCTCACGGGCAACGAAGAAATGGTCACGTTGCTGCTGCGACTCGGCGCGCAGACGTCAGTGCGCAACGCAGTACGTCTCTCTTCTTGCGGGCTATATACTCGATATGTAAGAAATGACTTGACTAGCGAGATGAGATGCCACTGCACCTTGCCATTTTGCGCCAGCACGGTCGTGTCGCAACACGTCTCGTCGAGGCGGGCGTCGATGTCTCTGCGCTTTACGTACCTCTTGCGATGGTGTGTCCATACCTGTGTAGACTCATTGGGCATGATCTAGAACGGACAGACTCCTCTGCACCTTGCGTGCGAGTACGGGGTCGCCGACGTCATTCCAGCCTTGGTAGCGCACGGCGTGAACGTGAACGCCAAGCACGTACGCTTCCTCTGCACACATCACTCGC